GGGGGGAGCGTAATCCCGATCGTATATCCTCGGCACAAGCGTTAAAGCGTACATCGTATGCGCGCTTTCGTGAAATTATCAATTTATATGCAGCCGCGCTTAAAGCTAGGACCCCGGCCCCGGTGCGGTGAGCTTAATGCAACGCGATCGCCGGTAAATTCCCTTAATGAGCCCCTGTGTATTCGTTCTGGCGAGCGCCGTGCGAGCGTCGTTATCGTGCTTGTCGCGTATTACATGGCCGTCGTATAATGTAACGCACAAGGTATCGGGTCATATCGCGCGAATAAATTTTAATTACGCGGCAATTCCGCGGAATGATAATGCGCACCGTCATCCGCCGCGATTGCATTTGTCCTATCCGATCCACAGGCGCGACAGGTGCGATCGATCTGGTAAGGGGAAACGACTTCCAATTTTCGCTAAGTAGAGCTTTAATTCAACACTTATTTATAGACATATAATACGTCTTATACGCTCTTCCGACTTCTAAATCTATATTCACTTAGAATCTCTTATCTAGAAAAATTGAACAAATTTTTAGTTTGTAGAATGAATGTTTTTTATCTGCTTACAATTAGAATTGTAAATTTAAAGTAATACTATTTATTTTTTGTATTTAAACTATGATTGTTTTAACGACAATGATTCTATATTTTTGTGTTTTTTTGACTTATAGTTTTATATCAAAGAAAGCCGAGAAAAATTGTTGCTTATTAAACCTATATCTTTAAAATAACGCAAGGTTAAATAACAGAAATTTGACTTATTTAAAAGATATCTTGTGAAACGTTTGAATAAATGTGTACTTATGAGTTATGGGTGCTTAAGCGTTCAAGTTAGATAGTAGTCGTCATCGCGAAACGCCAATTTCGAGTGCAAAAAAGTGCGCTTTCAGGAAAGAACGGGGCAGCGAGAGAGAGAGAGAGAGAGAGAGAGAGAGAGAGAGAGAGAGAGAGAGAGAGAACGGAGAGCGACGAAGGTGGATTAGCACGAAAGACGAAACTGGTTCAGCAGTTTCGATCAACGGTAGCTCGTCGTGTGTATATATTGTATGTATAGGGTGTATCCGTGTCCACGGATTTGCTACAAATTCTTTTGAAGTTAATTTTTTTTGTAAAAAAAAATGTAATAAAATACTGATTACTAGAATGCATTCCTATCCTCTATATAAATTTTCCGCAATTTCCTATCTATAACTGAGATTCAAGTCAGAATTCCTTTCAAGTAAAACTTCGAAATGAAATGTAACATTTTATGTTCGTAAAATATTCAAATTATCTAATATTAATTACTTACAATTGGAACATTATTAATAATCGGTTAATAATCAGTTTAAAAAACGTACGTATCAGTGATATATATTTATACTTGTCAAAAGCTGACTACTACGTTTGCACATTGTAGTTCGGAGAAAGCGCCCCGTCTTCGGATACACCCTGTATGTATATAAATCAAGCTGCCGCGCGAGTCCAGCCTGTGAAAGAATTCGCGTCTCGATCGATCGAGCATCGCGCAGAAAAACGTTTAAATGCGTTCACGGTGTGCCCTTCGTGGGAAGAGGGACGCGAGGGCCCCCCGAAGAAATGCCGGACCGCGCAAAATGCATACCGATCGAATGCGGTAAGAAACGTTGTAACCCGCTCGGGCACGAAATAATCAGAAAGTTAATCGCATTTCGCAGGTTGAAGGTGATTTTAACTAGACTTAGGTGCATCCGCGTTACTTAATATCCTCTTTACATAAAATCATATTTACGTTTTTGCCATAATTGATTATTAATATACATTAAATTTACAATATAATAGACATTCGTGATCCTTCACAATTCTCAAGTGAAAGTTAGACTATAGCGAGTCAAAAGCAAAACAGTGTGATCACACAGCGATATTTAGAGCGAGATACAAATCGTACTGCAATTTAAAATGTTGATATAACACGAGTGTCATAAGCAGTACAAGCACTCCTCCATTGGGAAGAACTCCCCGCAGTCCAAACAGAATCGTAAAACGTCCGATTTGACCGCGTGAAAAAGCACCAAATACGTCGGATATTTGTTGTTCTTTGACGGGAGAGATCGCGCGGGAGACGCTCACGCGAGACCCGTATTTAAAATAGCTCGCGTGTTCTAGGATCGGATCACTCGTCGCCCGGCATGATAAACAGGTAATCACTGTCGCCGCGGCTCCGTCGACGCTTCGTGGGTTCCGGGCGGAAATTGAGGCCCTGACAGAAACCGGGCCGCGTGTGGCGCCCACCGCGAAAAATAACTGTCAGCCACCCGCGCCACCGAGACCTCTCGTTGACACTTCCGAGCGGGCTAAACAAACTCGCGTCTCGGGGCGCGAGGTGGCAAACACGTGGCCCGATAGAAGAAGACGCGGATGATTGTTCCTTTGACATTGAACTGGGAAAAATATGTGCCGTTCGGCTTACGTATGGAATTTAGAGCGATGCAAGTGTTGTTGACGCGATAACAACAGAGAGACGTGAAATAATGCCGCACTTGACAATTCTGTGAAAGGGATGTGCGAATGAAAGGGATATGCCACCTGGTGTACAGACGAATCGGAATGCGAGGTAGCAAACACGTGGTCTCAGAAAAGAGAAGACGGAGAAACGTAACGTCACTCGGAAGATCACTTTCTCATGTTCACTTTAAGGCTGCAAGAGTCATAAAAAACGAAGCATGGTAATCTCTCTCTCGTTTCAGGAAGCGTAACGTTTTAAAACGAGGGACAGTGTGTTCCGATTGAACAAGATCACACTATGAGTAGAATTATTGCGCGGATAAAACGGAGGATATAATAAACATAGAATTTCAACGGTGTGACGTGTGCTATCGATGGACCATCGCTGGGCCCCGTGTAACGTCCGGAATGCACGCGGAACCCACATGGCGGCCCTTCGATTCGTCACGCGCGATCCGCGAGCTCGCACGGCCTGATGCGACGTAATGCACTCCGCGTGGCATCGGCGCGGCGCGGCGGCGCGGTGCACACGAGATGCGCTCTCGCATACGGTGCATTCAATAAGCGATGTCCATAAATAAGCCGCGCCGCGCGCGGACCGGTTAGGATATATCTATTGCTTGTAATTTACGTCGGGCTTGAAAAGCTTCAGGGACGACTCCTCCATCTCTCTCTCCTCCACCTTCGTATACTTTCTACCGCCAGACGATGGCCGAGACGAAAATAATTTATCGCCCCGGGATGGTAGGGGGACGGGAACGAGGGAAAGAGAAGGGCGAAGGGCAATAACGATCCCCTTCCCAAAGTCACGCGCTCCTAGTGACAAAAAGGTATATTAAATTCGCGCCGTTATCACGAAGTATCTGCAATCCGCGCCATACGTCGCGTGCGTTTTAATGACAACATCGCGTTTTCTTCAGAATTCACGCGAGATCTGTATCAGAAGATTCTTCGTAAAGACAGAAAAATCAGTTAAGCGCGGCGATTAGCGTTAACTAATATTTATTGGAGCAGCCTTAGATATTGAGTCACAGCTTTGATTTCAACACTAAAAACTTTATTCTTTGCTGACGCTATCGATTATCGTGAATTAACCAGTCATATATAATCTCATCAAATGACAGGACTGTTGTTTATGTTCTATCAATTGTGGTGTAATTTATGGGGTATCATTGTTTATCTTAGAAGACCTCACGTTCACGACACGATGACGCTATTTCAGTCCTTATCCTTCGCGCGTGTTGCTCGTGCAGTCTCTCAGATGAATAGCGTATTTAGAATTGAATCTACTGACGCAATAAAATCTAAGAGATGAAAACGGGCAAAATTTATATGGCATTTAATTAAACGTATAAAGCACATATATGTATGCAACAAACAATAATAATAGCTAATTGTGTAAACTATTTCATTAATACTTTATGTCGATGAAAATGAGATAAACGCTCGATGTGCCCTTAAATCCCTAGACCCGCCTGTGTTCCAATGCTCGGCACTAAGCGAACTCCATTCTCCGCGTGTATCAGCGTACCTTTCCAGCCGCTCGTCGGAGCGATCCCGACGTATGTCATTTCTAACGTGCGCCCGTCCATATCCAGAGCGACAGCGTCGGTGAATCAGGTCGAGATATCATGAATCACGACGGAGACGTCGCGTTCCCGATCGCGGAGCCCGACGACGTCTTTTTCATTCGGTCGATCGACTTCTCGTCTTTCTCATCGTAGGAGAGCCACGCTGTCACGGCCGCGTATACACCTCGCTCTCCTGATTCCCGTCCCTGATGCCCCGTCGCCGATCGCGTCGATAAATCGACCACACTTGAGACTACCGGTTCGCGATGAAAGCGATAGATATAACATCGTGGCGATCATTAGAGGAGCGCGATTGCCGCGGTAAGATGTTCATTTGAAATATGAAACGTGAATGATTAATGGCGAAGCTTTTAGCATCCCGTTTAGCATCCGATTTGTAGAACATTGTACGTAACCGTGTCACCGTGTTTAATTAACATACGAGGTTCCAGTCACAATTCCGCTCTTGTTAACGATGTGGATGGTCGTTTAGACAAGTTGCGTTTAAAAATGTTTAAATATGTGAGCATATAGAAAAATTATTTGTAAAAATCACAAATTTCTATTTTTTTCTATATGCAAATACACTGCAATAAATTAGATCTAGCTCGCGCTGAAATATGCATACCGTTTAAACGGAAGCTATATAGTTTGTCTGCACAAAACAAATTTCACACGGCATGTCTCGTGGTAAGACAAAGAATCTCCAGGATGATGTTTGAAAAATGAGAAATTCATATAGACTTTAATTTCGACATTCGCAACGGAAATTTGTTGCCGATAACGATTTTATTCGATCTACTCTCACGGCACGGCGATGAAACGACTCCGTCTGTGCGCCGGCGGCATTCGATAAAAATACCGCGGATACCGTTTATAATAATACGTGAAGTTCGTACGCGCCTTCGCGGAGACGGAAAAAACGCGCGAGGCTTAATTAACGACGGCAAAAGTAATAATCCGCCGCGCGCTTGCGCGTTGTCTTAAAAATCCGGAAAGTCTCCACGCGCGTATACGCGCGCGCGCGCACGCACACACTTTATGTCGCCGCGAGGTGTAATTATTGCCCACGTTCACAATTAATCGTCACCATTAGCACTAGATGCGACCACCCACGATGCACGATAACGCACGCCAGTTTGGCGCGTATCGACTCTCGACCGGTCTACCGATCGTTCACGGTTGTACCTGCCAATCGATCGATTCCGACGTATCTCCGAGCCGATACGGATGATAGATTCGTGACTTTCTCCGCGTTTTTCTTCTAACACGACTAATTTTCGTCGTAACTTCCAGTTCGAGGCTATCCGGCCATTTATTTTCCTGTAAAATATCCGTTTATGTACGCTGCTTTTTTCCTTAATTCGATCGTCCTGTTACGTTTGCCTTTTGTTCACTAATGTTCCTTATACTCGCAGTATATCACTAAAGAATAGGACTATTGATTTATTGGGCACATTTTTTAAATTAAATAAGTGTGAAAGGTTTTTTCCGAGTTCTGCCTGTTAAGGATCCACATGTTTTTGCCTTGTACCGTTCCAACATTTTGTATCTTTCTGCAGTAACGGAAGACTGCATCGAATGACTTACTTCGCTTAACAAACTTCAATTGAAATTAATCGTAGGAGGACGTTGATCGAAACGCTAGGTTCCACGCGATGTGCAGTCAGTGACAAAAGCGTGACGGACCCGTCCGTGTCTTTTTAATTGCTGACAAATGGTGAACAATACGTCATAGTTCGAGCCAGGTTGTCGCGATCAGCAACGCGGGATCCGTCGCGTCGCGTGTCGATTTAATTAATTTAGCGGCAGTAACGATCGCTGCCGAACCGTCGGGCGGAGTTTCGCGCGGAAATCGGATAAGCCCGGGCCTGATATATCGTCGGCGATTTATGTTATATATAGGTATACGATATTCGCCGCGGTTATCTCACGGGATAGCGTGCGAACGCGAGCGCTCGATCGCGCGCGTTATTTATGGTCGGGCTAATGAAGTTAGTCATTATCTAACACATATCGCGTGCGTGCAAGAAACCGCGAATCGAAACGCGGAGTTAGAATTATGATTAATGAATTAATAACGACACGGTGGGCGCTCGCGCGCGCAAACAACGTTGCTCCCGCGATTAGCACGATAAATGCCGGGGCAGACAGGTGTTAATGCGTGCGCGCACGAGCGCACGGCGCAGTAATTAACGCACGAAGGTCAATTCGATTCAAGCGGAGGATTACATTTTAATTGGAAACTACGTCGAACGCGACGGCGAAGGAAGTAGCGCGAGAGGCGGCATTGGTCCCGCGGGACATTTCTTCGTGTACTTCTGTACGGCGCACGCTGCCGTTTAACGAGTCTCTGGGAAATGTGTTACGTTAAATGTGTGTGCAGAAAAAAGTAGAGGATGTAAGGTAAAATAAAAGAGAATTTCATATGTCAAAATACATATACTTTGATTGTTTTCAGAAAAGTGTAAAGTTTTGAAAGCGTAAGAGGATTTGATGAATTGAGAGACCATTATTTTTGTATAAATATGACTTTTATATAAAATTAAATCTCTAACATTTACAATCAGAATTACTTTCAAGATTGTTACGTCTGTATTTCGAAATAGTTTAAAGCAAAAAAGAAAATATGTACATTTGTCTTTATTTTTTTTACTTGATCACTGTGCAAATAATTTAATTTTAAATCGGCAAATCGATTCTCAATCTTTCCTTGATAAGAAGTCGATCAACAAAAGCAATCGATGAACAGCGAAAATAAGCGAAAGAACTTTCAATTTTCATGCCGGCGCAAACTGGACGAAGATCAAGGGCAGAACCACGTGGATTCCTCCACGCGATTTTATTTCCGATGATTCAGCGTTTGCAATAATGATCTCAATTAACGCTTAAATTGTTAGTTGTGATGTCATCGTGCACAAGCAGAAAAGAATCTTTAAGATTGTCAATAACTGAGCCACAAGAAAATGTTCTCTTATTATTTATCGAAAATACCAGGTCAAGTTTATCTTTTATATGTATAATTTGCATGCACTTCAATTTAAATCAAGTAAATTCGTAACCATTAGGTATTGTCATTAGCATTTAATTAGCTGTAAGAAAAAGAATAATATAAATGAATAATGTGATTCGAATGGGCTATTAGTGGGAAGATGAGACTTTTTATTCGAGGAAAAAAGTGAGTATTTTATAGATCTTCACTTACTTGCAGATGATTATTCAACATATTTGAAACGCAATGTTTTATATTATTTATTGATTGATGAATTCAAGCAACAAATAATAAAAAGTTAAAAAAATTGCTATAAAACAATTCTGATAGATATCGTGCTTGCGATTATAATTATTTAAATCCATTCGATGACTTTGTCAACAGGTCTATTAACCGTTCAGTGTAACCATAATTTATTTCAAAAAGCTTCGCGCGCTAATGCCGGCGATAAAATATTTTACGACGCGGTGTATTTACAAGCGTGCGTTCGTGGAGACAGAAAGAAAGAGAGAGAGAGAGAGAAAGAGAGGACAGGACGAGGCAGGAATTCGACCGAAGGTGTATTAAAATAAAACTTTGCGCACTCCGCTCCCTGATACTCACCACCACGTGGATCCCCTGCCGCGATTCTTGTTCCTGGTCTCCTCCAGCGACGCGTGCACCGTCACCGAGAGCACGGCCAGAAACATCCACAGCCTCGGCATCTTCCGGCGTGTGTCTCGCGTGTCTCGCGATCTCAGAATGTCCCGCGCGCGCAATCCGCTCTCGGTCGTCTCTTATCTCCGATCGGGGGGGCTAAACACCGTACACCATCACTGAACGAACATCTTCTCGCGATACTCGCGTTCTCGATCCTCCGCTCTCGGACGCGAACTCGGGATCCCTCTCGAATCGCACTCACGGGGTCGTGTGCACGACCCCGACGCTAATCGCTTGATAAGATCGTCCTGGGATTTAAGCGCGATCCTTCCGGGGTGTTTCGATAACGGTCACTGATCACCGCGTCACCCTCATGGAATCGACGTTCGGCGAACCGTATCGGAGCTGACCAACGTTATCGAGCGAAGAGCAATGTAACCGTCTCTCTTTCTCTCTTTCTGCAAGCACTTCCGCGCACTGATCTGGAAAATATCTATCTGTCGTCCTGCGTTAGACCGAACCGTGTTCCTTGCGAGACTCTTGTCGAAGTGTCCGTTAGATCTGGCAAACACCGTGACGCTCAGTCGTTGACGATCCTGTTGCTGACTGTGACGTGACTGGTGGCGTTGTGAACGGGACCACGAAAATTCACCCCTCCCGAAAGGCCCTTCTCGAAGGGTGGGTGTCACCCTTCGAGAGCGTGCGACTCGGTGCGATTAGTGGTGGGAGAGAGACGCACGACGACCGGGCACACAAAATGGCCCGAGAAGATCTTATATACCTGCCAACCCTCCTGAATGCTGCGTGTCGGATCGCACCGGCCGTTTGCTTAGGATCAGGTAAGGCACCCAGATTCGGAAAACGCCAGCGGAGCCGGCGTTTAAGGCTTCTCGCCTTAATCTCTCAGGGGGTGACGTATACGCGTGCCGCGCTCTGCTCCTTCCGTTTCGTTCATCCGTCGACCGTTCGTGCCAACTCTTTGCTTCTTCGATGGGGAGGTCCTCCGAGTGGCAACGTGCGGCAGTGACGGCGGCGACGCGGCGGTGGCGGTGGCGGTGGCGGCGGTGGCGGTGGCGGTGGCGGTGACGCGCGCGCGTGCATGCGTGCAGCCTGCGGCGGGCGTGCGTGCACGCGTGCTCGTGTGGGATACGACGATGTGAGGCGATGAAGGGGAGAGATGTTCTATTCGCCCTTTTCTGTTTTGCACCCTCTCTTTCTCTTCGTTTTCTTTCTCTCTTTTTCTCTGTCTTCGTCTCTTATTTTTTTCCGTCTCTTTTGCTCTCTCTCTCTCTCTCTCTCTCCCTTTCTCTGTTCGTCTGTTTCACGTTGGTCTCGCGCTGCTTGGGGGGTATGGTGCAACGAGTCGGAGAACCAATACCCTTCGACGGGCAAGTATAGGCCTCGGCTAGCGACTGCACGCGCTCCGCGGAAGAGCCGATCTCTCTTCAGAGAGAGAACGGAACGTTCTCCCTTTCCCCCTGATGCGGTGGAGACCACTGGACCCCCCCAAGACCGATTAAATCTCGCCCCGCCTCTCTCAGCCCGACTCCCGCCTCCCTGTCTCCCTCCGTTCTCTTCCTCCACCAGTGTAAGCCAAGTATAAGCTACGATCTCTTCGATTTCTTCCCTCCCGGTGTGCTTCTCGTCCGTCTGCTTCCTTCTCTTCCTTGTCAACGACATTCTCGTACCTCGCGCAACATTCGTTAATGATTATTTTTCCCATTTCCGCTCCTCTTTCTAGTTTCCTTTCACAATTCATACTTGCATCTACCTTTTGCGATGAAAGATGAGAGATTTTAAAGTTAAAACAACTTCCATCGTTAAAGAAGAAATTATAAGTGATGCCTGCAAGGGAGATAAAAAGCAAATTTTATTTAAATAGATTTTTAAATATAAAATTTAAAAGATAAAAAATATAGTTAATGCAATATAAAATGCAAAAAATGATTACATCAGAACTGTAATTATATTGACATATAGACAAAAAACCACGTTTATAACTGATTGTAACGTTATTACAAAACTGTTTTTCATAAATTTAATTTTCTATCGATGTTTCGTAATAAACAATTTATATGTATAACTCAGTTCTGACAATTCCGAAGGTATCTCTGATAATGATACCTTTTGACAGGGTTATCGCAATCGCCGACTATTAGCAGACGCAAGGGTTGCACCTATTTCATCACCGCGTGTTCTCGTTCCCTCATGGTACGAAGCTAGCAGTTTCTCGCAGACCTCTTGTGCCTGACGTGGAGAGCACGTGGCTCTCAAGGGAAAATAGTAGGCGGGCTTTGCTAAAGCTACGCCCGACGAGGCTCCCACTACGGATTCTCATGTTCCTTGCGCAAGGAGTCTCTGCCAGGGTTCCCCACTCTCCGTCTGCTCCTCCGTTTTGTCTCCCTTCCATCCTCGAGCCGCGCTCACTCGGGTGTCTCAGTCCTTTTTTCTTCTCCTTTTTTTCATTCAGCTCTTCCCTCACTTCGGTCCGAGTAAGTTTTCTCCTTTTCTCGTCCGCTGCGCGCGTCGTCGGTCACCTCTCTTTCGTCGAGAATGCGTGAATCGAAAGGCGGAGGTGTGCACGCGCGCGTATGTGTGGGAACTCTTCGCGGAATGCGGTATGGCTATGGAACTATTAGCGCAGCTTTTTCCTCCACCTTGAATTCTAGAGGGCTCTAACGTAATGTCGTCCACGCCGGAAATTTTTTCGCTCTCTATAAGATTTTCACTGCACAAGAGTATCTTCGTTCAACGCAATACGCGTAAAGTAAACCTACCAGTGGCTGAACGTTAATCTATAGCTGAACAAGTACACAAAAATTTATTTTTAAATGATTTTTTTTATATTATTATAATTTAATTGTAATCTTTAAATATTTTTACAATTAAATTTTGATATTATAATAAAACAAGTAATTGAGATTAATAAATTTTGTGTACGTGTTCAGATATAGATACATGTCAGCCACTGGTACAATTACCTCATATATTGAATGATCCGATTTGAAAATTTGCAAGCAGAAGTTCGAGCAGCCTTTCTGTTAAAAGAAAAGAAAATTAAAGGTGTAGCAAGAGATTTCTAATTCCAAAAAAATATTGTCGTAAAGAAAAAATACTTTTTAGGATAATAAAATATGCTTTTTTTAAAAATAAAATATTTTAGTGATAAGTTATGCAACTCGATTGAATAAAAGTTAAAAATGTTACAATCATTAAAATTGATCAAATATTAATTATTACACGGAGAGAATTTTTTTTAAATTTACCCTGCAAATCATGTTAATTACGGGACAATATAGTATTTAGGCAAATTTTACTGTGCACTACAATAGGATTTCGCAGTAAAATTTATTGTAGTGCACAGTAAAATAGCCTAAATACTATATTGTCCCACAATTAACATGATTTTCAGGGTAAATTTTAAAAGAAAATTCTCTCCGTGTACATAATATAACGTAACTGTATTGATATTATTGTAATTGTATTTTTTACAAAAATTATCGTTGTCATTGTTGCCGCGTAAATGTTGACAGACTACGGTGTTAAACGCGACCAAACATTTGTCAACCTGCGTCGACAAATTTATTTATCTCGACGCGATAACTCGAAGAGAAAGAAAATGACCTGTGTCGGCCGTATCGTTTTCGCACCTACTAAACGATAAGAATAAAAGCGTGGAAGAAAGCGCAGCGAATGCATTCTCTCCAGTAATGTTAGACGCGGTGAAAATCACCGGCAACATGTACGTCTGCTCTTTTACCGAATAACGTATAATTTATTGGCAGTAGCTTAAGAGGCGGAGTGAGAGACTCAACGATACATCCGCTAGTGAGACAAGTAACGAGGTCAGAGGCGAGATTGATGAAGCCGAAATGCAGCCACGCAAGCTGATTTTGCGTAATAATTTTAATTAATTTTTTTACTGAAATTTTTTCGCCGTACATTTGACGAGCTGTCCGTTGACGAAAAAAACAAGGCTGAATATTCGCAAGAATTTTATCATTAAGTATGCGAAATCCGATTCAGTTACGCCGTAATAAGTGCTTCAACATTCGTAGCGTACTTTTTTGAGCACCGAAACTTTCGTATTTAAAAAAAAATTGGGACACACTGATCAATATTGTTTAATGTAATTCAGTCTTTTGCATTTAATTTAAATAGAAAAGATAGGTAATTCAAAATCTCATCATACGATTGCGTATTTCCGTGCGCGATTGAGAGAACGAAGGTCAGAATGTAAGAATACGTAAGTTTTTTTAATCTAATAATAAATTAAATGCTATTTTTTTATAAAACTTTTTGCGAAATATTTGGAAGCACTTTTGGGAACTTTGTAGAAATTCTGCGATTTACATATCTCATCTGATGTTTTTGTAGTAGTACGAGAAGTAGTTTGTAGAAGTAGAGAGAGTTTTTTTGTGAGTATGAGAAGTATCACCGTGAAATTTATAGTCAAAGACGAGAAGATCCAAAGACGCAGCTCCATATTATATAACTCGCTCATATTATAGTTGCGAGGGGAAATTTTCTCGTTCTTTAAGGACGGCCTTCGTGTTGATTTAAAGACAGACGATGCTAATCCGTTTCTCTATGTTTCCGCGGTAAGGAGCGCCATTATTTGCCGAGGAGAGAAGGCGAGGCGGTTTATAGCCGGCAAAATCCGTGGCAATTACGCGTGGAATGTTCGGCTGCAACGTCGAGAAGAAGACGTGCGATTGCATGCTTCGCCCCAAACCCCCGAAGTTCACGATTGCGTATCGCCCGCGCCACTGATCGTTTTTCTCATTATCGTCATTGAATGATTGTCGAGGCGTGTTTTAAGATTCTCATGTTTATTTGAAATATAATCCGCACGTATATGCTGCCCGTTATCTCTGATAACAAATATTTGTCGGCGATTCACTCATTTTCTTCGCGATGTCAGGAGCGTGCAGCGTGCGCTTCATCGGCGAGAAACTCGCCGCTGTAAAAATAAAACAAAAAAATCGCCGTTCGCCAAGTCCCAGCCCTAATCTCATCGCGGATGATTCGCATGATCGTGGTTGTTGCCAATGTCTTGTGCCTTGTGCGTCGTGCGTTTTCCTCGCACCTCCGCGCGCGCGCGAGCGTAAGCAGAAATAATCGTTCCCGCCTGTAAGTCACGGACGAGT